TATAAACATATTTTAAAAAATATACTTATTTGTTTTTAAACATGTCCTTATTAGTCATTTAATGTTAAATAACAACCGCTAACCATTGTATAGCTAAACAGTTATATTTATCGAATCCGTTATTTATCATCTGTTACCTACTTTCCGCTATCCATCATCTGCTATCCGCTAACCGTCACCCGCTACTCATTACCCGCTACCCGCTACCGCTATCTACTATCCACTACCTGCTATCCGCTATCCACTGAATTTTAATTGTTGTACCAAACAGGCTCTTAAAAATAAAAAATTAATGTACCTACAAAAGCTCTTCACCCCGACATAAGTTCTTACTGGGCTCATCAGCAAACGTTTAATGGGTGCTTGGGATCTATGAGGTTCTCCATCTCCATTACTGTCTGAGAAATTACAATATGATAACTCTTTGGTTTTGGATTGTGTTTGGCGCCGTCAATCGGTATTCTTAACCCTTTTTACTAAAGAAGGGTGAAGGAAATTATCTTGCCACTTTTCCCATTATGCAAAAAAGTACCAAAGGGTCAGCTATAAAAAAAGATTCCCTGAAAGATCTTCTCGTCATTTCATGCCCATTAAAGTCCCCACTAAGATAGAAGCATCATCCCGGAACCTATTCGAAACTAGTCAAGATATTGCCCAGAGAGAACAATGTTCGAGCTAATGGAAGTGTCCCCCTTCATCGTGTTCTATGTCTCTTCTTTTTTAGCTACCCTTGTCCTTTGTTTTAGCCTTTGTTATTGTAGAATTGTTACCTTATATAAATATATGATGATCACCATGTGATTTGGCCGAGAAAGAGGCCTCTTTATAATCTCGAACATTATTTGATGATGTCAAGATTTAAAGAATACTTGCTTACCAGTCAATTCAAATATTGAGATGTGCATCCATCTTCATGATCTTAAATATGTAGAAGTGAAAGAAGGGTTGTTTGGGGGAGCCATAATTTGAGCTTCGGCTTCTACATAGTAAGCGTTCTTAGGCCTGCCCTATATATTCCTTTGTAGGGTAAAGTCAATGCGGTAAAAGCCCACACCACAAAAGCACAGCATCCGCAGGCTGAAAGAAAGACCCAGAACTTATCAAAAAAAAGAAAAAGAAAGACCCAGGACACTTTCTTCAATTGGAAAGAACCGAAGAATACTATATCAAACCACCCCCCCCACCCCACTCCAACTGCAAGGCCCAGAAGATCACTATCAAATGGGAAGAAAAATGCATCAAACCCTTCAATTGTTGAAACCGAAATCTGGTTGGGTTTGTGACTTGGTATGATGGGCAACCAGCAGTGAGACAAAAACTAGGCCATCCCTTTTCTCCTGTTCTTTATCCCTCACCCCATGATCTGTCCCTCTCATCTTCTTCTTCTCGTACTTTCTCACAATGTCAGACCAAAACGCACAACAATTTGATTTCCGATAATGACATGACTTTCTTAGGTACTCAATCCTGAATTATGACCAGAGTTAGGAAGTGTAATTTCTCTTAATCCCTTAATTTCAGACACAAAATATCTGAATTGAGACAAAAACTAAAACTTTTACAGATTCCATTGATATTCACAGGGGAAGTTTGCATTTTGCAGTTACGGAGCATAAAAAGAAAAACGGAGTGATCGAACAAAACTCCTACAGAAAGTAGGGAGAAGAAAAAGAAAAACATCAAGCTAATTGAAATCAGAAACTGAAACCCGCATCCACCATGAACAAAAAATAAAAAGAAAAATAAAAAACAAGAAGGCGTTTTTTTATTTTTATTCTACCAAAGAAGCCTAGATCTTTTGGATGGAGGGTTGATTTGTGGGACAGTAAAAACATCATCTGTCCATCTCTGGTTTGATTTCATGCCTGCAATCTCCTTTGTCTCCTTGAACCCGATTTGTCCACCCAACTGGGGAGAATATTGAAGAGGATACATCGTCGGAGATGGCGTCTGAGGCACCCAAATACTTGAACTTTCCGATGAGAGAGTTACCATGTTGCTCTTGTCCAAAAACGGCAACATCCCATCATTGCTCTGCACCCAATCAAAGTTTTCAGATCGGAGAAATTCCAAATCATTACTCCATAAAAAGAAAGTACGAAAGGGGGAAGGTTCAGCTCCAAACCTTACAGAAACCAAAGGGAGGAGCAGAGGAGGAATCAAGAAAATCTTCAACGTGCCAACCGGGAAGCACCTCCATCAAGTACTCTGAAATCGCAAACTGATTATCTCCGGCAGCCTTGTCAGGTGCTGCTACAGTTGAAGTTTTGGTAACCGGAGATGGGTTTGAAATTGCCAGCGAAACAGGGACGGATTCCTTGTTAATCGGTTCAGACTTATAATCCGGTACAGAATCGCCAGGAGATGGTGTGTAAACGGTGGCGGTGGTGGAGAGCTTCACCCCAGTAAGAAGAAACCTATTATGCTTCTGGGTATGCTCGTTGGCTGTGTGAATTGGAACGTCACAGTCTCTGCACAGGATTGCTCTGTCCTGTTGACAGAACAATAACGCCCGTTTCTCCTACAAACAAGGAAAACCGAATTAAACCCCATAAATCAAATCAAATTCAATCAAAATTCAAGACCAAAGAACATTCAAATTATACCTGACAGACATCGCAGAGGGGGAATTGTTTGCTAGAGGAAGGATGGAGGAGGGAAAATCGTTGGTGTTTAGATGCCAATTTGTTGGCATGGTGGACGCGGTGGTCACAGGCGTCACAAAGGGCGGCCTCGTCGGCCGTACAGAAGACCGATGCCTCAGCCTTGTTGCAGACATCGCACTGGATCTTCATGTGGTGATTTCTTCAGCCAGACTGCTTGGAAAAGAGAAAATGAATGGTAAGAGAGTGGGGGCTCAAATTTGGTGCTGTAAGGAAGGAGAGAGACACGGAATTATGGGGTTTCTTTATCAAAGTTTGGGGGAGGTATGATTCGACCCTTTTTCCTTGAAATTTTTTCACTTCTTAGTTTTGGCCAATCTTGTCTCGTGCTTCATCTTGGATGAAGAAGTTAAAAATAAAAAATTAATGGTCTCTCTGTCCTTAATTTTATTTTTGAGGAATTGAGAGAGAAAATATTAGTTTATAATTTAAATTATTTTAAAATATAATAATATGTTTAGTTTAATGGAAAAAAAGTAATAATAAGTAAAGAATCTTCTATTTAATTTTAATTAAAAAATTTTAAAGGAAAAAAAGATTAATTACTTTATTTTTTTGAATAAGAGAAGGGAAATGGAGGAAAATGAAAAGATTTTGTATCCTTTCATTTTCTTTAATTTTTTTAAACCAAACATTTTATAAAATAAAAATTAATGATTAATATTGTATAATTTAATATAATTTAAATTATATAACACTTTTTGTTCATTTGATTTTAAGATTTTTTTTTTTTTTGAGGATAAAGAATCCGTTTGGCTTTAAGTAAAAGGAAAAAAAAAAGTATATGATATACTATGATAACCAATTAATGCTCTTCTGTTGTCTTGATAATTCAATTCCAAGGAGAATAGAACTTGTTGAAAGCTTCTATTTGACTGCATTAACTCAGCTACTACTTGCTTCTTCTTCTTTCTTCTTTTTTTTTTTTTTAACAATTAATAATGAGTTATATAAGAAAAAATTATCTTATTTATTTTTAAAAGTTTTCTTTATCTTACTTAAAATTCAAACCTCTATAAGATTTCTCAATTGAAATATCAAACTTTTAACCTAATGAACCCACCTACTTAGAGGTACTACTTGTTAGGTTGTTTGTTGCTCATGTATTTTCTATACATTTACACGTTTGTGTAAGAATATATATATATATATATATATATTTTATCTTGGTTACACATTGGGAGGTAATCATCTCACATATTTTATCTCACCCTACTCATATGTCATGTAACTCAAACTTAGGATTTCTTATTTCAAGCAGAAGGAGATTACTATTAAGTTATTTAAGTCGTTGACTTGTGTAAGAATATTTAAATTTATGACTTTCAAAACATGCCAATATATCTACTTTACCTAACTTTCTTAATTAATTATGCAATTAAATTGCAAAATTTTAATCTAGACAAACAAAAAAATATCATTTTAAATGAAAATTACCAATATGCCTTCTTAATTACAAGTATTTTTTTCCAATAATTAATCATCAACATTTCACTAATAATGTTGTTAAAAAAATTCATTAATAATATTTTTTTCATTGTTTCCACCTCAATATTAAAAGAAAAAGGACTAAAATAATATTTTAATAATAATTATCTCATTATAACATTATATTAATTTTCAATCTTTTGCCAGTCTAGATTGAAAATCTATTTTCCGTTCCTTGATCTCTTTCAAAAAAAATTTTGTTTTAGGGCTAAGCTATAGTAATGGGGTTAGGTTAACATTTGATATATAATAAAAGGGACAAGTACTTGCGATTCTATAAAATCCTACTCCCACCAACCAAAATAATTGTAGTTTTTATAATGAAACAACTAGCTTCATTAGGTAGAAGGAATAAGAATACTAATTGAAACTATTCCGTAGTAATGTAAATTCATTTTCATTTGCTGATAACCAAAAAAAGAAAAAGAAAAAAGAATACTAATTGAAACATCTGATAAGTGACATGTTATTATTAATCTCAAATAAATATATAAGTGGTAAACCCTAGCTAGTAACATTTAGGGACAACTTTTTTCGACAAAATCTAAGTAGGGACAAAGTTTCCTTAATGGATGGAGTATGTTTATCATCTTTCAAGGGTTTAAACAAATGGAGGTTTTTAAAGAAAATAATAGTATTTATAATTAAAAGATTAAAGGGCAATATCATTGAGA